TTACAATTATAATCAAGTATTGCATTAATATAATCAATTAAATAATTAATTATTACATCATAATCAACCAATGAATTAAAATATAATTAATAAATTTTGTATAATATTTTTATCCTATAAATTTTCTTGTTTCCTTTTACATTTAGCATTTCATATTGGTTTAGAGTTTTCATTTTCTTTGATGGATACACAAACAGAGTAATACATATATATTAACTTAATATGCATTGCTATGCAATAAATTTGTTATTGGTTTTAGTTTTCATACTCGAAGTTAATACATTGTACCACCCCCTAAAATATAATGCAGCTCAAGACTCGTCACTCTAAGTAGCCAGCTTGCCATTATCTCCTTCAACTGGCTTTAGTTTTATTTTTTTTAATTGTCTTAATTTTGTCAAATTATTATATATGTAGGAAGTTTGTGTAGTTATTAGCTGTATATAACCTTTTCATTTATTAATATTTAGATTTAAATAAAATTAAAATATTGTTTTTTTTTTATGCATGTAGGGTTTCTAGACGCTTGTTGCATTGGTTAATTTAGAAATCAAATCGTAGACCAAATTAAGGATGGCCGTTAGTATCTATGAATGGGTATTGGGAACTATTTGATCCTATTAAGTAGGATTAGGATATCTTATAATCAAGTTTGATAAGGTTCGAATAGTAAAATTGTTATCCGTCATAGATTTAGGTAGAGTTTAAATAGTGGTCATAGGATATTTATTACATGAATCTGATTATAAATTATTATTTTTTAATATTATATTAATTACTTATTTATAAATCATTTATTATTAATATAAAACTTAACTAAATTAACTTATTAAATATTTTAATTATGATTGTTAACTTTAATTTATTTTTATTAGGTAATTTTAATTTATTAAGTTAAAATTTTGTAATATTAAAATTGGTTTAAATTTAAGTTTGAAAATAAAACTTTGACTTAATAAATGAGTATTAGTGAATTTGGATAATTAAAGGGTATTTTTTATATTATATGTGTATGATTCAGATAATAAAAATTAAAAATATTGGAATAATTATTGAATTCTAATATTTTAGTAAATATACGAATTTAAGTTTGAATATCTCAAAACTAATAGTACCCTACCCTGTAACGTCCTAGACCACATGCTCCAAACTTAGAATCATGAAAGGAAAGAAATCAACACGCATACTTTGATGAATATCATCCTAGAAAGTATGCATTTCGTAATTACAATGTGGCTTTGAAGGATTTAACCGGGCCAGCCCACTCATTTTGCCACCTTTACTCACACCCAAAACTATTTACTATTCTTTTATCTTTTGGTAAGTTGTCCTGCAATAATCACTTATTTCAATAAGATATCTGATAAAAATCTTCTCAAATATTGGACAAAATCTTCATTGTGACAAGATACTATTTATATTTGTATTTCTTAATACCTATAAAACACAATTCTTGTAAATCTTTTATCTTTTTGGTAAGTTATCTTGCAATAATAGCCAATTTTGGCAAGTTATCTCATAGAAATCTTCTCAAATATTGTAACAAAATCTTCCCATATATTAATGTGAAAAGATACTATAAATATTCGTATTTCCCAATGCTTATAAAACACAACTCTAATCATATCTCTATACATTGGCAAAATTGATCAGCAAAAAATAAGATGCCTAGCCATAAACAAGAATTAATCTTAAAATGATAGTTCATTATAAGCATTTATGTGTGCATAATGATGCATTTGATTGTTGTTCATGGCAATTCGGAGAAGATGGGAAGAACTTTTCCAACAAGGTAGGACATTTAGATGAATGAGAAAAGAGTTTTTTTTTATTTTTTTATTTTAAAGAAAATCTCATTGTGGATTAATGATAAAATTTACATATTCATTTCTTATGAATTTTTAAAAAAATTCTCATTGCAGATGAGGGGGCACTTCCTGTAGATTTTGAAGAAAATCCCCAGGTCCTTTAAAGTTCATTTTCATTCTCTTTATTTTTATTCTTATTTTGTTTAACTTTATAAGTAGCTTTTATGTCTTAATTATATAAAGATTGATTTGCAACAACGGAAACAGACGATGGAGATTGCGGACCATCTTGGATGAAATTGATAGCTTAAAGGAGAATATTGGAATGGTAGATTTCATATATATTTATAGGAAAGCAAATTCCTTTACAGTTGCATTAGCAAAAATGGAGGTTGACGCTAATGAGTTTTTTTATGCCTGGTTGTAGTTATTTTATTGTTAAAAATATGATTGAGTCACAAGATCTAGTTGACATTATTTCTTGACAACAATTTTATAGGTGAAATTGTTAGGAATAATGACTCAAATCTCATAAGAGATTTATTTGAGATTTGTTTAGGATTTTTCAGATATTAGTTGTGGACAAAAAGACTTGCAAAAGAAGAATTTTAAGAGAAAGATGATTCTTAATAGGTAAGTTTGACTTGCAAGAGAAGAATTCTAAAAGAAAAGAGATTTTTAATAAGTAAGTTTGACTTACAGTAAAAAAATTTTAAGAGAAAATTGATTCTTAATGGGCAAGTTTGTATGGTTATAAATAAGTGAAGTCTCTACAAGTTAGGTATGAGAAAAAGATGTAAGAGAGATGTAGGGTTTTGTGGGATAGACATCCCATAAGAGTATTGGGGCTCTACATTTTATGGGTGTGTATGTTTGTTTGTAAGTGGACTAGAGGAGATTGAGAAGGTCTACATAGATATGATATATGGAAGCATATGGATATGTGTTTGATTATATTGAAAGCGTGCACAAAGGTTTGGATTTTTATTTGTTTGAGTTGAGAATACTCTATAAGACTAGCGGATATTGAGAGTGTCGTATGAGTATTCATTGTTAAGTGAGATTGATGATTTGATGTATGTTTGTAATTCTTTACAACTAGTGGATCTTGTTTTTTATCCGTGAATGTAGGTTGATTAGACCGAATCACGTTAAATTGTTGTCTGTTATGTATTTGATTTATTATTTGATTTTGCTTCCGCTTGTATGATTGGATAGGAGGCTTTTAGCCCAACAGAAATATCAAAAAGGCTTGTGTCATTGTAATTAGCATTGCTCATGGATTTTACATTATTCTAATAAAATTATTTTTTCAGCTGAGTGAAAAAATATATATAAAGATTGATTAAGAGTTTGATGTCAGTATTATTTTAGCATTGCTAGCAATGGAAAATAAATTAAACAAAATTAAAAACACCGAGGCTCTTAGAAAATTTGAAATTTCTTCTCTTAAAATTGGATCATGGAAGATAAAATTTTATAATAAATTGAATCATGGAAGGTAAATTTTTATAATTAAATTTTTATTAATGATTGATAAAAGAATGAAAAAAAAAAAGTTTACGATCATATTTTAAATTATATATATGGATCAATGAAATATGTGTAGATAAAAGCCAACCACGGGAATTACTTGACTGCCAAAATCTAATTTAGTTGGCAAAATATACTGTAGAAAATCCAAAAGTGAGGTCAAAGAGCATGATAGATCCAATTCAAATGTAAGGACATCTCGATATTTAAAATTGTCAACGAGGATGAAATATTAAAAATAACTGTTAAGGTTAAGATAATAGACTTTACGAATGGAGAAGCTCAACGCCGTTGATATATATATATATATAGGATTTGTTTAATTTGGAAAATCATCAACAGCAAACCCACAATTATTTACATGTCGTTTAATTTCTATTGCCATATATGTGTTTTATATTTTCACTAATTAAAATTGTATAATGCAAACTAACTAAAATTAATATTTTAGTTTTGCGGTTTTATATCGCCTAATGATTTTGAAAAAAATCAGTTCGAAAACACCATAAAATATGATATTGAAGATTTTGATATAATGTAGCTATTAAGTAATTAGAAAATTGATGGATGGTGACTAGTGGTGTAATTTTTTTTTTTAGAAGTGACATCATATATATGATTTATTATTTTGTACAAATAAAGTCATAATCTAAGGACTAAAAGAAAAATTATAGATAATGAGACTTAAATTTCATAATTACTAGTAATTAGAAATGTCACTTTAGAAAAGTGATTTGGATTAAATCTCTGATTCCATAACATGTATATAAATTTATTATTATTGTTTCAATATCCTTAACTTGTAGATAAATGTTTTCTTTTTAAATATATATCAATATTTTAATTGGTAATATCTTTTAAGTATATTAGTATTTATTGTCATGTACAATTGCAAGTGAATACTTATTTTTATTTTAAAATAATAATCTATAACTTATCATTAAAATGAAGCCTGTCATTAATTTTTTTGTCATGTAATCAATTTTAAAGGAAATATAATATTTTAAAACCTAAAATTTGAAACATAAATAATTAAAAATTTTGTAATATTTAGGGATAAAAAACTTTAAAAAAAATTATTCGAAACTATAATATTTAATTTGATTCGGATTGAATTTTTTATTTGGTTTGAATTAAATTCAAATATTAAATGTATATATTGAATTCGGATCAAATTTCAGATTGAAATATTAAAAAAAATAAATCAAACCGAATTATATATTTCATTAGTTTTTATTCATATTTTAAATTTTTAGAAAACAAAAATAATTTTTATATATAAATTTATTTAAATGTATTAAAAATTATATTGAAATATTATATAAAAACAAAAAAAATAGATTTAAAAACCAATAAACTAAACCCATAAAATTTATAATATTATATATTATTTAAAAAAAATTGAATTGATCCTAGTCATTATCACTCATAGTAATATTAATCTTTAAATTATTCAATACTATTACCATTAAGAAAAAAAAAAAAAACGGATTTCTCGGTGCTGGTCAGCTTTCAACTCCCTAAACTGATGGCAGGCCTTAGATAATAGACTTGAGATCCAATTTGAGCATCATTTTGACCCTAAAAGTTGGGCTCTTATATTCCCCCTTTTGGGATAAACTTGGGCTTTCTTTATTGTTAGTTGGCACTGCCGTGATCTCCATTTTTCTTTGCATATCAAGGCCCTAAAATTTCTACATGACAGACACCGCCTTCGTTGCCATAGGGCAATCGAAGCACAACAAAGCTGAAAAAAATAAAATCTTTACACTCAGACAAGGTTTAAGGAGGGTTTAAGGCGGCTACTGCTTCCCTTTCTCTACCATTTTTTTTTCTTCGAACATTGCTTTTCTCAAACCCATTTTCTCTTGTCTTGAAATTTGACCAATCTAAAATTTCGCGCTTCATTTTCAATTTCACCTTTTATTTGTTTGTACTTTTGATGTCCATCATCAAAACACCATTAATTTCTTCTAATCTTTTAGACAGATTCGATCACTTTATTCCCTTTGATAATAATAAACCCACAACTCTTTACCAAAACCCTCTAAAGATTTCCAAAGTTATGTGGAGAAACATAGCTAAACATGCCATTTCAAGAAGAACCCATAGTTTTCAATGGTTTCCCAGAACTTATATCTTTCTGGCTGTTTCTCATGATTCAATTTTTCATGAGAAATCAGCGTTTTGGGGTTTAAAGTTTGGATCTTTTTGCTCAAACTCAAGGTCTTTTGATATGGGAGGTAGAAGAATTGGTGAGGTTTTAGCTAATGAGAAGTATATAGGGAAGCCAAGTTTTGGGCTTTGGAGGAATGAGATTGGGTGCAGTGGGTTGAGCCCAAGAGGGTATGCGAGTGTGGCAGAGGCAATTTCATCGACTGATGTTGAAGAGGATGTGTCTGTTGCTGAAGAAATTAAAGAATTGTTGGATGAAATAAAGAAAGAAGGTAGGAGAGAGAATGGAAATAGGCGTAGAATTCGCCAAATAATAGAGAGAGGAATGGGGGAAAGCAAATATCGGTTATTGAGAAGCAGGCAAGTGAAGATTGAGACTGAGGCATGGGAACAAGCTGCTAATGAGTATAGGGAACTTTTGATGGATATGTGTGAGCATAAATTGGCACCCAATTTGCCTTACATGAAGTCTTTGTTTCTTGGCTGGTTTGAGCCTTTTCGTGATGCTATTATTAAGGAGCAAGAGTTGTATAGGTCAGGGAAACTTAGGGCGGGTTATGCCGCTTACTTGGATCAGTTGCCTGCTGATATGACGGCGGTTATCACAATGCATAAGTTGGTGGGGCTGCTGATGACTGGAGGGGAACATGGCTGCGCTCGGGTTGTGCAGGCTGCTTGCCTGATAGGTGATGCCATTGAGCAGGAGGTGGGTGAGATTGAATATCACTTTTCTCTTTATTTGTGTTAATATTATATTTGGTTTTCTTCGAAATTAAGACAGTTGGCTATGTAGGTTCAGATGATGGAAAGCCTATTGTTTCATGTGTGACAAAATGCTTTACCAGATGTTTAGGTGAATAAATTTATGCGTGATAGCTATTTCAGGTTAAACCCGAGTGATATAGACAATAGAAAGTAAGCTCATAAAGACATAGACACAGTGAGAAAAATAGAACCCAAAAAGAATTAAATGCATCATGAGTTATTAGAATGGCAAACCAAAAGCTGAAGGGATGCTAGAAAGGCTGACTTAAACAGTAATTAACTCAAATATTGTGGTGTTGCAAGCAATAAATTTTTTGATCTATTTGTTCCAAATAAAAGAAGGGTGCTGTATTGTGTTTGTTTAAATATTTGGTTAAGATGAATATCCTAAACCTTTATGTTTTGGCATGGTTAAGATGTTTGGTTATTTTAAATTTGAAGTTAACAAATTCTCTCATCTGATATATGTTGACAATTTATTTTGAAATTTAAGATTGCCTGAGTTTTGGGGTTATTTAACCATTTAAAAATGCAAAGAACAAAAGCATTTGAAAGATGGCCATTTTCTATCCTTCAAATACACTAGTTTTTTATTCGATATTGTGATAACAATATCAGACACACCAAAGTTAGATACTTGCATTTTTTTTTTCAAACTTGGACTTTCTGTGTTTTTACATGCTACCTTTGTTCATGAGTCATGACTTTCAAATCTTGTACCTTTTTTTCCATATGGTGCATGATGGCATCTCTCTCTCCCTCGCTCTCTCTTCTTTTTTCCATGTTACTTAAATCCATATACACACATATCATCTCATGGGTAATGCAAGTTTTATGGGGCTTGGACTCCAATGATGCATTTGTCTTTGGCATTTTCTTTTTTGTTTTCATTTTTACCTGGGTGACTCTCGATGATGCGGTATTCTTTAGACCTGCTTCTGTTAGTCCAGAGCTACCCTATTTTTTTCTTTGAAATTGAGAACTAATTGATAAGCATTTCTATCACGGTTAGGTTAGAATACACAAGTTCTTGGAGAAAACAAAGAAAAAAAAGGTTGACAAAAAGAATGAAGATGAAGACGATGAATCTGATGCTGCAATTAAGGTACAAGAGCGGTTGAGGAAAAAGGTAACCAATTTAATAAAGAAACAAAAGCTACCAGCTGTGAGGCAGATAGTGGAGGGGCAGGACGACACAAAACCCTGGAACCAGGATGCTAAGGCTAAGGTCCTTCTAATTTCATGTAATCTGTAAAAAAATGACTTTTTCATTAATCATCTGATTTTTAAAATTGTGATCTATGCTCTTTTTGCCCTAGGTTGGAAGCCATCTTATTGAGTTATTGACGCAAAGTGCTTATATACAGCCTCCAGCTGATCAGTTAGCTGATTGTCCACCAGATATTCGTCCTGCATTTCGGCATTCTTTCAAAACTGTAGTAAAAGAAAACAAGTGAGGACTAATTTCTGTCTTTGGTTAGGCTAACCCTTTCTCTCAGTGATAACTTCAAATATAGTTATAATCATTTCAAATTGCTGTTTTTGGGCATTCTTTCTGCAGGAAAACTGGCAGAAGATATGGTGTTATTGAATGTGACCCACTAGTTCGCAAAGGGCTGGAGAGAACTGTAAGTAAATGGGCATAATATATTACATTTTGTTATTCCTTTGTTATTTAAGTTGTTAGATCCATGTAAAATTTCCTGATAGGATGACTTGTAAACTAGAATCTAGAATATAATATTTAAGCGACAGTTTAGTTTCCCATCCTTCTTTCTCATTTTATTGTTGTCTGTGTTGTGAACTGAGGATAAGTGGTACCATGCACTAGTTGCAAATGTTCTTTTTTCAAATCTATCACAGAAGGAAATATAAAATTGTTCTTTGATTCTTTCTCACACAGGCAAAGCACATGGTAATGCCTTATATGCCAATGTTGGTGCCCCCAGTCAAGTGGACAGGGTATGTTATTTTCCGTTTCATGTCAAGATTATAGTTTGATTTTCCCTTGGATTGAGGTTTTGGATAATTTGCATTAAAGCTAGTCTTCAAGTTCCAAGAAGATACAGCTACAGATCGGTATAAGTATTCAAAATTTGAGGTACTTAATGAGAGGTCAAATTAAGATTGGCGTTGCCTGTTACAGACTAGTAGTAATGGCTAACCAGCATTACAGGCTTAAGATGCTAACTATTACTACTTCCTGGTGACGGAGATTGTCTGTTTATTTTTTTTCTATAGAATTTTTGGTGGCATTCTAGCAAATTTGATTATACATCATTTGTGTTCTAGATAAAGTAAAATGTATGAAGGAAATGTTCTGAGCATTTTTGAATGACAAAGTCTACAATTTTTTATGACAGACCGTTATCCCATGACATGTTTTACTGGATAAAAACTAGGTTCAACTATAGTATTTCAAAAAACTTGGCATTTCTTTTTATTTATTTGTTTTGCAAAATTTTCTTTTTTGCTGGTAAGATGGTTAATATTCTATATACCATGTGGGTAACTGCTATCTTTTTGTCCTTTGCAGTTATGACAGGGGAGCATACTTATTCTTACCTTCCTACATTATGCGCACACATGGAGCTAAACAGCAACGCGAAGCTGTCAGGAGAACTCCTGGGAAGCAGCTAGAAAAAGTCTTTGAGGTTGAAAATTCTTTTTGTTGTTTGATCTTAACCTGATGGTATTCAGCAATGGGAAGTCAGTACCTGACTACTGGCTCAATTGGTTGCACTTATATATATATATATATATATATATTTCATTTGCTTACTTGCGTTTTTCCAAGAATTTGATGATTTGTGTAAATAACCTGCTAGGCTCTGGATACACTTGGATATACCAAATGGAGGGTAAATAAGCGGATTCTTAGTGTTGTAGATAGAATATGGACTAGTGGAGGCCGTCTTGCAGATTTGGTGGACCGCAATGATGTGAGCTACTGTATCTTTTTTTTTTTTTGGAGTAACTGTATTTCTTTCTCGATTTTCCCCCCTTTTTTTGAATTTTTTTAACACAAGGCACTTTTGTCTACTTACTGTGCTGTATATCTTATGGTTTGTGGGGATGAAGTTAAATTCAGTTTGGTTCCATTTCCATTTCTTTTGATTCCCTGACAAGCGGAAATTCTTATCATCAAATCTTGCAGGTTCCCTTACCAGAGAAGCCAGATAGTGAGGATGAAGCATTGCTGAGGAAGTGGAAGTGGAAAGTCAAATCTGTGAAAAAGGAAAACAGAGAGAGGCATTCACAGCGTTGTGACGTAGAGCTTAAACTTGCTGTAAGATCTGTTTGCCTTTATATACTGCTAGTATATTAGTATTTTTATAAACCAGACTTATCCCAACTCTTTAAAACTGTGAACAGGTAGCTCGGAAAATGAAAGATGAAGAAGGTTTTTATTACCCTCACAATGTAGACTTTCGAGGGCGTGCGTATCCCATGCACCCGTATTTGAATCATCTTGGTTCAGATCTTTGTCGGGGTATTTTGGAGTTTGCAGAGGGTCACCCTCTTGGAAGATCAGGCTTACACTGGCTGAAAATACATCTTGCAAATCTGTACGCTGGCGGGGTGGACAAATTGTCTCATGAGGGTCGATTGGCTTTCACTGAGAATCATCTGGATGACATATTTGACTCTGCAGACAAACCACTTGAAGGAAGGCGATGGTGGTTAAAAGCAGAAGATCCATTTCAGTGCTTAGCTGTGTGCATTAATCTCACTGAAGCTTTGAGAAGCTCCTCTCCTGAGACATTTCTTTCACATATACCTGTGCATCAGGTACTTTCTTTTGTCTCCAACCCCCCACCCCCCCAAAAAAAAAAAAATGTTGCTCCTACATTTTGTCTACATGATTATTAGACAATGATCATTTATTAGGGGCACTAATTGATGAATTGAATAGCTCATCTGTAGATTGTTAGAATATATCTTTATGCATATTTATGCCATATAGACATGCATACTTTGTTGATAGACATAAAGACATATATGTAAGCACACACACACACATGAACAAAACATATAATTGAGCTACATGATGGAATATCAAACAGTTTCATGCATATGTCTATAAAAGTGTGCCTGTGATTTTCATTATTCTCAAGGTTTTCAATATCTAAATTGATGGAATTTATTTTCAATGATGATTCCTTTCTACTGGGCTGTTCATTGACTAGCTAAAATGGTCGCTTCAGTTTGATTCATATTATTGAAACCAATACTAACTTAGAATGGGGAATATTTTCAGTTTGGGTTTCATTCAATGGATGATGTATCCTACCTCCTTTCTTATATGTAGTGACAATTCTTCTTTCCTCGCATCTTTCAGAATTTGCTTGCTCTTTTTTTAGCCCATAAGCTGATTCCTTTCCTGTCTGTTTTCTTGTCTTCCTCTAGGATGGTTCTTGCAATGGTTTACAACACTATGCTGCACTTGGAAGAGACAAGGTACCCTTTTTTTCAATAAGAAATTATGATTGAAGTTGTTATACCTGTTTGTTTCTGCTTATAATTTTTGTATTGAAAATTTAATTTCCAGTTGGGGGCAGCTGCGGTCAATCTGGTTGCAGGTGAGAAACCAGCAGACGTGTACTCAGGAATAGCTGCTAGGTAAGCCATTTTTCTCTTGGTTCACACAAAGCCTATTAATGATTGATCCTGATCGTCCGATTTGAGATGGCCATGTCTGGGTGAGCTATCGAATTAAGTCTTTTCTTGACTGCACTTTTCCCCACTCACCTCTTAAGAAATGAAACCAAAAACTATTCTCTAGGAGTGTCCTTTTGAAGAAACTCAGATAAAGTTATTATTCTTCTTCAGCTTTTATTTATGATTTTGAGAAGGGAAATAGCATGGTTAAATCAAGGGCTTCGAACTCATAATTTTATATTTATATAATATTATATATATAAGAGATTGGAAAAGGGAGAGGGGGTTATTTAGTGTTTCCATTCGTTCCATTTGTTTGCAAATTATTTGAAGATGGAAATAAAACATAACTAAGCACTTGCTTTTATTGAGAACTAGAAGTCAATGATGTGTTGTGAGTCAAGTGGATAACCTAATAAGCCTTCATTCCATTCAAACGACAGGGATAATTAAGTTTCAGGTTTAAGTTGAGAAACATAGAATTGCTGGTTTTTATAGAGGAGGCCTCCCTGTTGTGTTTGCCAACTAGGAGACTCAGGGAAAAAGGTCATAAACTCTATTTTATCACATTCTATATATTACCTGTATGCATATTAGGTGTTTAATTTAATACATTTGGACAATCATAATTCATAGCAAGCAGGGATTCTAGTTTATTGGGTTGTGCAATCCTTGAAAATAAGCAACAGTTGAAATGCCAAATGTAAGCTGTCACCTGTGTCTGGTAAATAATAATAGCATTCACACGTATTATATGCTATATAATGAATAGCTGTATCCAGATCTTGATCTTGTTGGGAGCTGCTGGATTTATGTTTTACGATTTATATGTATTTTGGATGACAGAATGCTTTTTAATCAGTTTAATATAACAATATAATAACAAAAAAAAAAAAAAAAACCCATATTCTGAATGTAGAGTACTTGATATCATGCGGAGGGATGCACAGAAGGATCCTGCAGTTTTTCGAGATGCATTGCATGCAAAAGCATTGGTTAACCAGGTATTCCATTACTCTCCTTATATGATATTGACAAACACATTAGTCTAGTTGAGAGATGTCAGAAACATTGTACTATTATTGTTTCTTTCTTGTGCATTTTAATCATTCATGTTGCAAGTATGGCATTGGCAACTTGCTGAGTTAATTTCCATCTTGACGGGTAGCTAGTTTATGTGGTAGTTTATTCTGATGGCTGGAAATATTAACTAGGTGGATAGGAAACTGGTGAAGCAGACAGTGATGACCTCAGTCTATGGTGTAACTTACATTGGTGCACGAGATCAAATCAAGAGGAGGTTGAAGGAACGTGATGTAATCACTGATGACAAAGAGCTCTTTGGTGCTTCTTGTTATGCTGCTAAGGTAAGGAATGCTGGACTTCCGCTACTTTAGCTTCAATTAGTTTCAAGAATATGGGCCCACTTTATGAAATTACACTCTCACCTGTATTGTGAATTTAATGATAAAATATAATTAATTTGTGGGGTGTGCTGTCAATTTAATGATAAAATCTAATTTATTTGTGGGGTAGACAACCTTAATTGCCTTAGGAGAGATGTTTCAAGCTGCACGTGCTATCATGAACTGGCTTGGTGAATGTGCAAAGGTGTGTCTCCCACCCTATGTATTTTCTTTCTGCCCAGTAGTTCTCCATGCTACCATTTGCTACATAATTTAAATTTATTGGATGGTTTTTAGCTTGAAATGTTGAATATGAACAGATAATTGCATCTGAAAATCAGCCAGTCAGCTGGACAACTCCACTTGGACTTCCTGTTGTACAACCATACCGAGTATTTGGAAGGCATCTTGTGAGTTTTAGAATGTTTGTGGAAACTTAGAATCTGCTAATATCTTTATTACCAAAAAAGATCTGAATCTGCTAATATCTGTATTAAATTTAAGAAACTAATACAATTTCGAGCATTTAGCTTCTTTCTGTTAAATTGGCAGGTAAAAACTTCTCTTCAGGTTTTAACACTGCAACGTGAAACTGAAAAGGTACATTTACCTGTCGCAATTTTCTGGTTTATACTTTGTATATTTTAGATATTACTTGTTGAAATCCGCATGCCCTAGCTTCGGTGAAACACTGTATGCAGCATGTCAAACCAGATTCTAAGACAAGCTGCTCTTATGACTGAAAGGGCTAGTCCCAGAATCACACGATTTTAGTGTAAAAGGTAGCTCAAGTTACACTATTAGGTTAGATATAGCTCAGAGTGTTTTTTTTTTATCATAGATGAACCAGCGTTTCGTGCTGCAATGGGCTAAACATTTGATTTTATCAAATTTTCATGCTAGTGCCAAGAGAGGAAAAGGAAAAATGCAAGAGAGAATGGGATGTTACGCTATGCTTGAGGAGTTTGATGGGAAGCAGATTTTACAAGATGCAAAAATCATTTTTCTTAATTTATGTTTAATAGCTTAATTGTTATGATACTGATTATTAAAAAAGGTACAGGCACAATGAGCTTACTGCTTGCTTATCCCACTATTTCTTGTGGAAATTGGATGTTTATATATTATATTGTTATGGACATTATCTTATAACTCTATATTTTTTGCATAAAGTAGGACTGAGAGTTTAACTTGCACACTAATAAATTTAAGACTTTTGAAATTGCACTATATGAATTCTTCTTATCAAGTTTTTCTATACACACACTCTTCCGCGCGTGCACACACACATTTAGGTGGCCAACCATGGGACTGATTGGCCATGACAATCACTATGCCAATCTTCAGCTATTTTGGAACTCCATACGATGTTTTCACTGTCAACTTTCTAGCTTCACTCTTAACTCTTTTAATGCACATGTACATTCATTTCATCTTATTGAGGACGCTAAGCTATAATAGACTTTGTGGTGAAGTTTGCCTGGTAGCTGGACCTTTTATTGACATGGTTATACTTGCCTATGCCCCAAATGTTAAACCTGATGATTTATTTTCTGCTATAGATTATGGTCAAACGACAGAGGACAGCTTTCCCTCCAAATTTTGTTCACTCTCTAGATGGATCTCATATGATGATGACTGCAGTTGCCTGTAAAAAGGCAGGCTTAACCTTTGCAGGTATTGCAGTTGATTTCATTGTATTTCGATACCTCATTCTTATGGTCAATTTCAAATTACTACGCTGACTAATGCTTACAGGAGTTCATGATTCATATTGGACGCATGCAAGTGATGTGGATAAAATGAACAGGATACTAAGAGAAAAATTTGTTGAACTCTATGAAACACCAATACTGGAGAATGTAAGTGTCTATCCAAATATACCCCAAGTAAATATTATTTAAAAATATTCAATGTTCTTTATCATCCCATAATTTTTTTAACCTTTTCAGTTGTTGGAAAGCTTTCAGCAGTCTTTCCCTACATTGTCTTTTCCTCCCTTACCTGAACGGGGAGATTTTGATCTAAGAGACGTGTTGGAATCACCCTATTTCTTCAACTGATCTCATGTCTTGGGCTTCTCTTCATCCGAGCCTCGAGCAACCTCATGCTTGGTGCTACCTCATTGTTCTTCTTCAACAGATCTGATGTCTTGGCTTCTCTTCATCCGAGCCTCGAACAACCCCATGCTTTGTTCTACCTCTTACTGTTCTCTCAGCTTCCGAATGTACAATCGACAAAAGAGCTAAATTCTAATAGAAAAGAAATCCCAGCAGTGAGTTGATGCTGTACACTTTGTATATAACGTGAAAGATGTTCATGTTATTGAGACTTCAAAGCTGCTGTTAAATTCTCTGGAACTAGGAGGATTGGCTACACTTGTACAGTTGCATGTAATTTCAGAGACAGATTAACAAGGGAGACAATCGCCCCTATTGAAATCCTTTTTTCAGGTAATGTCATGAAAGATTAAATTACTATATTTTTGTACATTACTAACATAATGTGTAATTACATTCAATAATTTAGATCTGAAGTTAAAAATAATATAAATAGAAGTACATCATTACTGCAAATAAAGGCAAGCATTTAGTCTATTGCAAATCTGAATATACAATATTTGCAATTTTACAACTTGATTTTAAGTCTACACAACATGATACAAACTCAAGCATGAAGCATTACCATATTGTACAGAGGGGGATGATGTATAAAACTTAATACACTCCCCTAATAATCTAACTTTATTCATTGGAAGAAAAGTTCGATCTTATAATAGAGCTTATCAAACCTACTTCGAAAACCCAGATTTTCGAATTAGACCTCAAATGATTCTATAACTCAGGTCTCATCAAGGAAACCATGACATGGCAGCAAAGTCTCCTTTCCTGCAATCAAGGAAGCAGCCAGGTAGATCATGCCCTGGGTCCTGCTCCTGAATTCTTCTTAAACAGTGCGTAGGCATCACTATATATGGCCACCAGGTTTGAGAACACAGCAAGGACAATCATGAAAAGAGCTAAGATCTTGTCCTTCTTTGTTGCTATAATGTGGCGATCCCTGAAATGATACCGATGGAAAAGGATTGAGAATATAACAAATAAATATATAGGCTCATTAACAATCTACTGTTTATGCATGTGATATAAGAAAGTTGAACACCAATGTTAAAGAAACGGGAATTAAAATGTAGCTGATATCTAATCGAATGGAAAACAACTCACCTGAGAGTAATAGCAGCAGGAAAAATGAATCCAAGGCAAACTGCAGCAGTTGCTCCAGTGAATTGGAAAGCATCCCAGATGCTGGGTATGAAATTTGCACCTAAGAAGATAACCGTCATGAGTCCAGCAGTAACAAAAGCAAACCTCGTATTGGACAGAGATAAAGGTCTTGCAGAAGGGAAGAGGAGGCCATCCATGTTGAGTCGCAGTGGAAAGAAGACAATGGGAAATACAAGCATGAGGTGAGCAGCATAGCTAACACGGACAGCGTCATTAAGCATGGAGCTATAGGGAATCCCCAGATCACTATCAAAGTTAGCAAGAACATCATCCAATGTTGCATCACCAAATAGAAGGAATCCGAAAAAGCTTATCATTATGTAAACAGTTGAACATAAAGCAAGTGCTGTTCGCACAACTGGTCTTATCTGGGTAGAGTCTTCCAGTTCATTATCTATGCTGTGAACTGCAAATTTAAGCACACAAATAAATCAGATATTCTTGTTATCCTACACCAATGTAAAAGATGAAAACCACATTGCTTAAATCAAGAGTCCAGTTGATGAATCAACTTGCATACCATTGTAATGGCAGATATATGCAGTGACTAAAACAGGGACTACAGTGAAGAGTTTCCAGAATGAGGTCATATCAGTGACATCAGGTAGCAATCTAGGCATCATTATAGTTCCACTAATCAACTTGACAATTGCTATTCCCACAGTGATGACAAGAAACACAACTGCCAGAGCAACTGATAAGGCAGATGTAAATCTTAAGGAATCTGCAACCATGAGAAGGCGTAACTGCAGGTTAGTCACGTGTAACCAAACAATGAACATGCAATACAAACTATCCAACTTAGATTCTACTGGTAAAAGATGAGGTTCTGAGAGTTCACATGCTATAAAGATTACTGCTAGATTCTATATGATAAACAAATAGCAAACACTTGAAACTTGAAATCAAAGAAAGAAACGCAGCATTCTTGGATTAATACATTCCTCCAGGAAGTGAAAACATATTTGAAATTCCCAAGGAGGTAATTGGTAAGAAAATTTTTCACAGAGCTACTGTAAAAAACGAAATAGTTATAAATCTAATATATTTACCAATTAACATCCACGTTTTTCGCTTTAATTGTGTTTTAATTGTGTCAATACTACTAAGATCTAATGATCTATAATTAAGAACAAGCAAGACGATTAGACAAAATTCAGAAAAAGATATAACACCCAAACCACTAACCAATGCGTTTAAAACATGCCAATGGAGAGAATATGCCCAGTGTTGTGACAATAAGAACAAAGGTACGCCCATTCCACCAGTGTTCTCCAAACCATCCTTCAAGGATACCAGCATGGTGAACTCCACTTGAAGATGTTCCAGAAAGCACATCACCTTGAAGAAACAATAACCATCATAAGTTCATAAGCAAATTTACCCATATTTCCATAACATCAGGCAAGGGAAATCTAGGAAATAAATAAGTCAACAAAAAGGCCATTCTAGTACATGTTCAAAACACAATCGAATATCAAAGAAGAACCAGATATGCAATTCAGTTGTGCGCAATGAAGTCATACCAATAATAATCATGTATACAATGAGTACACCAATGTTGTTGACTAAAACACAGATTTGCAAGAAGATTCTTCCGTACTTTCCAAATGCATCCCCCATAAGACTTCCGTAAGATGTTGTTTTTCCAGCCCTACTAAACCTAAGCAAGAACTCAATTGAGGCATCAGTTAAGAATGCCATAAAGATAATCATAGCAATCCCAAGAACTAGTCCCAGAACTTTCATGGTTGCAGGCAAGGCCATGATCCCAGCACCGACAATTGTTGTTGACAAGTTAAACACTGCCCCAGTAAAAGACGCTCCGTTAAATTCATCATAACCAGCATCTTCATCTCGTTGTTTAGGCAACAAGGGAGCTTTCTCATCAAAAACATGCTTGCTCCTCCTTGACTTCTTCTCTTTCTTTGGTTTTATATCCCCAATTGTCATCTCTTAAAACACCAAAAACTCTCAAAGACACAACTGTATACACAATCTAAACCACCTCACAGGCTAAAACCCTCCTTGAGCACCCTCCGAGAAGACCTGTCCACATAAAAAGTAAAAACTTAGTTGCCAAAACATTAATCCCTTGATAACAAAATCCAAAAAAATTATCTTAATATCCTAACCTGTAACCAAATCTAAACTTTGCACCCTTTTGAGGTCGAAAAAGAGAAGATTTTTCAAATCTTCTACAACAAAAGGTAGATCTTTTCCAAAAAGAACACCAAAATAACCAATGAATGAATTTAATATAAAGGGATTTTTGCAATCAACAGAAACTCATATAATCTACAACTAAAAGGTTGAGTCTTTGATATCAAAAGCCAGCAAAAGAAACGACATATTTCCAATCAACAAAACCTTAAAAACCCAATTTGTATTTCCTTGACTTGAATCAAATATAAGCACCAAAGCAATAATTGAAGCCAAACACAGAAAAGAAAAATCAAAATTTGACCAAACCCAGATAGATCAAATATATATGAGCTTTGAAATGAAGAAATGCGTGACAACCAACAACAAGAAAACTAAGAAAAGACCGTCTTTATGACTCCTCCCAATTCTGGGTGTTTTACTTTGATTTATAAAGAAGCCAAGAGAGCAAAGACGAGAAACACAACACGGCAAAAATATAAAATTAGAAAAATAAATTAACACCTATCTTGCATGATTGGGTGTTATTGTTAATTGGGTTATTAACTGATTTTTTAAAAAATGAAATTAAATGATTATTTTTATCATTTCTTATTTTCATATGTTACTATTAAAATTTATGACAGTAAAGTAGGAAATTTTCAATGAATTTGAACTGTTTTTAAAAAAGAAAATGACATTTTATAGTTTTAACAAAAGCAATGACAACCAATAATGTCTATGTCGTCTACAGGCCCTAAACTTTTGTCTATTTTTTCAAGACGAAGAGCAAAAGAAAATAACATCACAACTATTTCATATACTTTTAAACCAAAATTTAGTTTTTATTTGGCAAGGAAGCTGTTTTCTTTGGATTTTTCTATAATAAAATCTCAAAAAATAACAATTGGCTATAAATTGTAAGGCATGTCATAACTCCTATTCAAAGATGTCATATTCAAAGGTTCTACTCAAGGATGCCTCGACTTGTCATCAACACCAAGCAACAATCCCAGCTAAAATTTTCAAACATGTTCAAACGATTCTTCTATAGTAATTGAGCACCAAATCAGCTGCCTTAGTGTAATATACTTGGCTTCCAATGTTCCCTAAGATAATCGATTTTCGTCGTTATTGTCATTAAGCACTAATGGACATGATTAACTCTATAATTAAAATAAAGTAGATTAATTATTTTATAATTAATGTGAGGTTGTTGTTCTTCCAACTGTATAACTGCTGACAACCAAGACAAGGAATGAATCCAAGCCAGCCAACTTATTGGGAGGTTCTTGATTCTTTGTTCTAATACCTATTATCTGATTCATCAGCAAGATTAATAAAAAAGATTAGTTTATTTTGAAATCAAAGGAAGATTACAAAATTTGGTGACCTCATTAGGTTAATAAATCAATCTTTCTGACATGATTTTTGTCTTGGAGGATGGACTGTGGGCTGCGACGATTAAAGGAGGTGGGTCCATTGAGCTCAGTAGGGCACGAAAAGTCGTAAGGAAGTGGACAATGTTCCCATAACTTCACCATCAAAGTAGCCTTTGGGCAGGGAGCAGAGACAGGTCGAAGATTACAAAATTTGGTGACCTCATTAGGTTAATAAATAAATCAATCTTTCTTGCATGATTTTTGTCTTGAGGGATGGATTGTGGGTTGTGGCGATGAAAGGAAGTGGGTCCATTGAGCTCAATAAGAAACAAAAAGTCATAAGGTAGTGGACAATGTTCCCATAACTTCATCAAAGTAACATTGGTGCTTAGGTCATTAGGGATGGGTGAGTGAGTCTTACACCTAGTATTGCAAACTTTTTATATTGTCTCTCACTTTTCAATGCACCCATTGGAACATAATTTTAATAAAAAAAAGTTGAATGACAAAGTTTCTATATGAATCAAGACAACATGATACAAAACAAATTATGTCCTAGACACTTTTTTTTTTTGTTTTGGTTTTGCTTTTGGATTTGCTCTGTTGATACCAACTGTGACGCTACACATAAATTTAGAGAATATAATTGTTTAAATTAAAAGATTATTGGATAAGAATTTAAGTAAAAATTTTCTTATAGTTTTCAATACCCTAGTTTTGATACAAGGAGAGATTACATTATTATTAAGGAAAAGCCAAAGAAATAAGTGAACCTATTTGTTGCACATTTTAGGCTATCAAGCATCAACCCACACTTTTTCACATTATTATATGAATCTTATTTTCGTGATAACCGACATTTGCATGGAAAAAGTTGAAAGTATGCATGAAAACAAGGTCATTCAAGAATTAATTTTAGCAACTCATGTGGCAATATATATATAGTTACATCTTGGACTTTAATTAGGTTTAGGGTTTTTTTTTTTTTTTTTTGTGTGTGTGTTAATGTGGATAGGGTTTGGTTGAAGTAGAATATATAGGGAATGGAGTAAGAATGGCATACCACTGCTTAGCTTGCAGGGTTGATGCTACATATGAATGAGATTGGACAACGATTGAAGCTAGCCCTTCAGGATAAGAGAGAGCAAATTCTGAATGATGAAAATGAAAGCTCAGCGGCACATGGCTTTTCCATTACAAAGTTACGATAAAACAAAGGACATCCTCATAGTCATAAGAAAAATGGATTCAAGGACCTTAGGTTTGCTTGCGTCCGAGTTGAAAAACTATGAGATTCCCTAAACATTTTGTTTTGTTCGATAATTTTTCAAAATATTGTTTGAATTAAATCTTGAATTAGATTGTGTTCAATTATTAAATAAATTTCTATTAACAGTTTTAATGTAATTTGAATACGTTCTAATTCAAGTATGAAATTAATTATGGCTCTTGAATTTATCATTACATTTTTTAAGTTGGATTAAAGCTCAATTTTTAAGTTTTGGAATTTGCTAATTAAGTCTTTGAATTTCTTTTGTTATGCTTGTAATTAAAGATATTTATTAATCAGGTCATATTAAGTTTAATCAAATCTATATTTGATATTAATAATTTATATATTTATTTAGATTCAATTTGATTTGATATTTTAATTTTTAATTTTTTTCAAATTTGATATAAATTAAAAGGTAAATTTTAAATTTACCCATTAAACTTAATTTATATAATAAAAACTTAAAAAAATTCTTTTTTTAAATCAAAATAAAAATTCATATATATATATCTTATATAATATTAATGTTGAATTCAGATTTTAAGTTTTTTTTATCAAAAACTTAACTTTAAATTTAAATGGGATTTAAAAATTATATTTAAATCTTTTTAATAAATTTTAATTTTTTATTTATAATTTTTTTAAATTTAGACCAACTTTCAAGCTTGAATAACTTACTCAACTTTTGAACTGATATACTTGAAACCCATAATTTTCTTTTATGATATCTATTTATCTAAATTTATTTGTTTTTGTGTTATGTAAATAAAAAGTGATCTTTAAATTTTTAGTTTAGTGATTAAATATGTTTGAAGGAACATCAAAAATTTAATTTTGAATCAAAATTTTTTTTATTTATATTAAGACTTTATCTTTTTTATGTAATAAAAAAATAAAAAAATAATTTTTAAACCCAAAGCAAAAGCTAAATCCGAACCCGAATCCAAACATGTCCATTGCGTGACCGAAACAAGGTAAACAATCCTGGCATCATGCAAGAGCATAGCAAAGCGAACGTTAACATGTGTCACTCACTCACTTACTTTATTGTCGGAAATATTTAATGTTTGATTTCTTTTCTTAATCCCATTTTTATTTATTTCGTTTCATCACAAGCCATCCCTTCATTTCTTCCGCTTTCTTGTTCTTTCTCTGCAACTTTGTTGGGGCTCAACACCCTGCAACTTTCCAAAAAGGTAATAAATTTCTCATTTCTCTGCTTTTTTTGGACTTGGGTTTCTTGAGAAACTGATAGAAAACAGCAATTTTCTTTTTTTCTTATTTTTTTTAAAGATTTGTTTGAGTGTGCAAGATGAGCATATTAGGTTATTGATCATGTTGGTAAAAGGTCATTTTTTTTTATTAATATATGGGCAACCTGGAGATGGGCTTTCGGTATTTTTAACTTAATCATAATAATTAGAGAATACAAGAGAAATTGGTTTGATTTATTTGATTTGGCAATGAATTTGCTTGGAGACATTAAATTATAATCACAGGTTAAGGTTCATTTCTTGAGGATCATACTTTAATTTATTTGTTTTTTATATTCAATTATTCACTAGCCGCAATCAAGTAGAAAAAAAAAATCTTAAAAAGAAAATTTTGGTTGGAAAGAATTAGATCGGAATAGCATGTATATATATAGTACTTGAGTGTCTTGATGAAGAGGTTTGTATCTATGGAGTTGTATAGATTGTTATGTCATAAACTTATGTTAAATTGTAATTATTGGCACTAAATTTGTACAAAGTATTTTATGCAATACGTTTTAGCTTTATGCGGTGTAAGAGAATACATGGGATTGAAAGTACATGTTATGGATTACACTAGGTTTATGAGGAATTGGATCACATCTTTGTTGTCTTATGCATTCTTATGTAGCCACAAGGGAGATTTTTTTGTTCCTCTTCCTTGTTTTTATTAGGCAGATTTGTTGCAGTCTTGAGTTTGAGAAGCATGAGCAATTCAATTTCCAAATATAACACACCTACATACTTCTTCAGCATCTACTGAAAAAATTTTAAATTTGTATAATTTTTTGTATCTTTGCCATCTAGAGATGGTCTATGACTGTAAAATTGACAATGTTCTGCACATGTGCATGAAAAGCTAGAGAGACAAAATAGACTGCTTTGACTTAATTCTAGAATGGAATTGTAAACCTTTAAAATGGAATGAAATCATCTCTTGATATCATTTGACCAAGACCCTAGTTCTGTTTTCTCTCATTACTTGCTCTGACAAAATTTTCAATTTTGCTAACTGAATTTTGGTTTTGAATCAGAGCTGCTAACTGACCATTGAAATGGATGCCGATGTCATTCATGAAGAGGGTGTTTCTGGTGATGACTTCAATAGTATGGAACCGGAGGCAGGGTCAAGTAGAGCTGACATACTTGATGGGATATCAGCTGGTGGAGAGGTGGATGGAGAATTAGGAAGGGCTAGTGAGATTCTAACAAGAGTAGAATTAGATTTAGCATGTTCCTCAGAGAAATTGGTTAACTTAAGTGTACTTACAATGCATTTGGCGACTAGGGAAACTGACTTGGAATCATTTATGTCAGAAAAAGACTATTTGCTGGTTGATTCTTTTGAGAAGGCTGTGGAGTTTGATCTCTTATCTGGAATTTTAGATTCCGAGGTTAACGAACTGGATAAGTTTATGGAGTGTCTTGAAACTGACATTATTAGTTCCCGTGAGACAATATCTTCATTTAAGCACTTGGGAGAAGCTTTCTTCAAAATGGAGGATAAGTTATGTGTTTCTGAAGAATCATTGAAGCAGTTAATAGATCAAGTCTCAGAAATTAAGATGCAATCTGCTGATTTCCCAAAGATTTTATCATGTCTTCATGGAAATGAAAATTGTAAGCTACAGAGCTGTTACTAATTTTATTTTGTGTCTATATTTTGCCATTGATTTAATTAAAGAATTAATAATGGGCATATGCTTTAGATTTTTATAACATGGATTAGAAGTCTTTGTTTTTGGTACTATGACTGGGTTTGCCTATTGCTGCTGAATCCCCGACATACCATAGATTATGTCCTAAAGAAGGAAAATGTATGCAAGTTTGTGGAAAATGTATGCAAGTTTGTGGAAAATGTATGCAAGTTTGTGGAAACTGAATGCTTTCAGAGCCTTTTCATATTTGACTGGCCTTATTCTACTGGTTCTTGGTAAACCTGCCTGAGATAAAGTAAATGATTCTTTTATGAATCTTGTTTCTCTGGATGTAGGTTAAGGGACAAGGGATAAGCAAGAAAATATTTACTTTTATGCCTTTTTCTAATGTGTGCGTTTTGTAGGGAACAATGAAAATGGTGTGAACGTATCAGAAGCTGACCAATCCTCTAGTGTTGATGCAAAGATAGAAATGCAAACAATTGAACAGCAAAGGAATATTTTGAGGATGCTGGAGAAATCTTTGGCTAGGGAAATTGATCTGGAACAGAAGTTAGCAGAATCTAGGCAAATTGAGGAGGAGCTTAAACCAAGGGTGCTCTCTTTAGAACAAGCGATGATTTGCATGGAGGAAGAGACAATGGATGTTAGTGAAAGGTTGTTTGAAGCAGAGAATGCAGCGGAGGTGTTTATGAGGATTTCAAAGGAGCTACTGGGTCGACTTCAACTTGTTCAGTTTAATTTGAATAGTTCAATTAATCGTGAAACTGAGCTAAGATTGAAGCTCGAAGAGTCCACAGAGAAGTTGGAAGCCAAAGAGAGTGCATTGCGGAAGCTTGAAAGTGGTGATTCTAGAGTCAGTGACTTTCTTCTAGCACAGGCAGACAACTTAAAAGAAAAGTTGACAGAAGCTGAAAATAAGTTCATTCTTGCCGATTCTGAGGCATTCACTTTGCGTGAGAAGATAGAATTATTAGAGAAGCAACTTGAAGAATATGAGTTAAACATGTTGAATGCAAAAGCTTCTGGTGATGAAAGTCGTGAACAACATGATACTTTATGTTCTCAGCTCCATGAATTGGAAAATGTGACTGCTGATTTGAAAGAGAGATTATCTGAAGCAGAAAATAGAGCAGATAATGCTGAATCCAAATGCAAATTATTAGGTGAGGCTAACATGGAACTTAATGAAGAGCTGGGTCTTCTTAAAGGCCAATATATAACGTCTGAAAAGGTGGAATTACTTGAGAGGCAATTGAAGGAATCTGAGATCCGGTTACTGAATGCCGTGGCTTCAGCTGAAGCTAGTCAGGAGAAGCAAAATATGTTGTATTCTACAATTGGAGATATGGAAAATTTAATTGAGGATCTAAAATTGAGAGTTTCAAAAGCTGAAAGTCGAGCTGATACTGCAGAAGATAAGTGTATCATATTATCTGAGAATAACGCAGAGCTAAGTGAAGAACTGAGCTTCTTGAGGGGTAGACTGGGTTGCTTGGAGGCATCTTTAAATCGAGCTCAGGAAATGAAAATGGCAACTGCAAGGGACATAGGCATTCGTGCCAAACTGATAGCAAATTTGCTCATGCAATTGAGCATGGAAAGAGAGCGCCTTCACCAGCAGGTATGGTTGCTTTATCTCCAACTTAACTTAGTTTTCTTTTTCAATGTGGATTTGTAACTGAGACATGTCCCCTGTTTGTCATTTTATTGATCACTTTTATGCTTTTCTTACCATCTTTTTTTGAGGTCTTGTATTGTGTAACCAAAAAACAAAGTTCAAAGTTTGAATGAACAACAATTTGGTATATGCTATATTGAGATTGAAAATGATTCAGTCCTGTTTCAAATAGTATTGGTAGCTATCTTACTTTGTTTACCTTAATCAGCATAATAAAGAATTAAAGGCAAATAATTTTTTGGATAAACCTTCATGAAAAATTATAAAACTGCTTTAAACCTGCTTTAACCTTCATGAAACCTTGTCAATCAGTCAATATAATGTATTAGCGTGTGGAAGTTGTTGTACCAAAACTGAATTATAAGTTCTTGAAAACTGTTTAACCTTTTTTGGATTTGAAATATGAATAAACATTCACCAATATTCATTCCCTTTTGAGTAATCTAAGATGCAAACTATATAGGCCTGTAATTGCATTAAAACAAATTAGTACAGGCTTACATGCTGTTAACTTGATTTTAAGATTTACAATAATGGCCATTTAATATTTTTTTAATCACATTTTACTTATTGTACCAAGTAAAGATTTGAACATGTCTGCTGAAGATAGAATAGGCTTTTGACAGCCTTTAATTATATTAGCACTCAATCTGAACAGTAACTATCTTGTTAAGCAGATATCTGGACTAGCTCTGAAAAATAAAATTTTGGTAGTGAAGTTGAAGCAAACTGACAGGGATCCCTCTATAGTTAGGAGCCATGAGAATAGGGGAAATGTGGAGGAATTTTTTTTTTCAAAGCAAGACTCCAGTACTGCTGCTGCAAGAGAAAGTAAGGAAGAAATAACCAAGTTGTCAGCCAGTGGTTCTGAGGTAGGTTTTTGCTAATTTATTTCTCATGTTAGTTAGCAGAGTTGCATATCTAGTAGTACTTGAAGTAATTGTTTCCTTTATTTAACATGTCTTCCTCATGAATTTTATTATGGTTTTGTGCTTTATTTCATGGTATAAAATACTCATCTCGCTTCAAATTTGCCTTCTGTTGTTAGGTTGTTTGAGTTTATGGCCATCTATCTGCCTATTCTGTTAATTTAGATTTTAGGAGTATATGTAGTTGAAGAATATGTTAATACAGGAGTGGCATAAAGGCTCTTCCATCTGAAAGCATTGCTGTTAAAGTGCCTAATTGAAAGTGAAACCTGCTATTCTTGCAATTTGCCTTGTCAAGGAGTTGGTTGTCCTGGTTAAAGTTGCTGTGTTTTCTTGGGATGATGGTTTCACTATCCCAATCTTGGGATAGAATAAAGGTTGTAAATGAATTTTAACATTTCTTTAGAGCAAGTGGGAAAAGCATGTATAAGAGTAATTAAATTGCGATAGCCCATAGGCACTCCAGCTCCTTAATCTCTCTCTCTCATCTATGACTCTATTGAGAGTTGCAAGCCCATGACACTTAAGGCATTATTTGTTGAGACCAAATGATTTCAAATATGGCTATTTCTAGCAGTACCCTGTATTTTTTGCTGCTTGCTAGGATATGTGCATTTTTTTATGTGTATGCTCATATGCCATATATCTGTTTGCCTCAATTGCCATAAACTTTGACATAGTCTTTCCAGCTTTCTCTACCCTCTTGCTACATTTAGCCTGAATTCTTAATTGGTGTAGCCATTTGACCATGCTCTTTTGTTTTGTTTGTTTGTTTTTCTTTTCTTTTTGTTTTAGAACCCTTCTGTAGAAGTGAGATGAAAAAGTAGAATAATGTTTTATGTTTGGAGAGGCTTTTATACATTGATAGCTTATTATATAGCAACTTTATATTTTCTGTATTTGGATGTTATCTGATGTTTGGTTCCTTGTGAAGGATCTCTTAAATGTAACAGCAGTACGCAAAGAAAGAGAAAATATAAAAAGAGACAAAAGGAGAGGAAAGAACACAAGAACTAGAAAGCTAGAACAAGAGGGAAAATGCTCAAGTCTATATTTGATTCTCAACAATCCAAAAACTGATTGACTATAGCCTTTAAGTTACAAATTTTACGAGTTAACTAAAACCCTAATGTAAAGCTGACCTAAAATTAGATAAAGTCCTATTTTCTTAGCTAGGTATGTCTAAAATCCTTAGGTGGTGGTCCTCCATCATCATAATTCTTTTCTTTTTTTGAGTGTGTTCTGTGAAGATTTCTTTTTGCAAAATTGACAGAAATTAAGCATTGCTCCAAATGTTGTTGGTGTGATGTACTATTTGCAGCTGGACAAGACTACTGAATCTGTTGGTGAGTCTGATGTGAGACCTGCAGATGTCACATCTGAGTGCGATAACGTGCAGAGAATAGATGCAAGATTGCTTACCTTCAAGCATATTTCCTTGGCATTACTCATCTTGTTAATTTCAGTAGCAGCTTATTATTTCCAGAAGAAAGAAAGCCCATTTTAGTGATGACGTGCATTCCTCCCTTCTGTCATCTAATCTTGAAAAGGTTTTTACTCATTTTCTCAACTTTAGTTAATCTTTTGCAAATTAGGAATTTCATATCTACCTAACTAAAATGATATGAAGCGTCAAACCTGTAGTATATGCAATCTTTTCCACTAAAATTTTCCTTGGATATATATATATATATATGTATGTATAGGTATATATATTTGCAGAATTTGCATGATAATGAAATTCATTTTTTGGATGAGGTGATACTCGGTGAAGCTAATACCATCTGGACCTTTGAATGCATAGGAATTTTTGCTGCGGTGGAAGAGTGTTAAGATGCCGGCATCAAAGTTTTCCTTGGATTTCTGACAACTAGTAGAAAAACATAGGCAACCAGCTCTGTTAAATTCCAGGACAGTTAAATTTGGTGTTGTAGATGTTATGGTGTATTTGAAGTAGGCTTTTTGGTGGCTTGCATTGCTTTATTGGTCTTGCAAAGTGCCATAGATGATCTTTCAGTTCTACTATAGTCTATATACATACGCGGGGAAGAGAAATACGTGAACTGTAATTTTTCACCAAAATTTTCATTAACAGTGAAAACTGTCACAAACTGATAAAACGTGAACTTCTTATCTAGTTTCTTTTGAGGTGAAATAAATCTACTTGTATCCTTAATTGTAATACATGGTTTACATCAAAACTCATTGGATGCTTAACATCTAAGTCCTGTGGGTGTTTGCATCGCCATGATGCAGACCTAGAAGCCTCATGCTGTTATCCTGTCAAGTCTGAAAAGAAAGAAAGAATAAGAAAGGGAGAAGAGAACAATTTCTCTGAAGGCAATATTCGTCACCTGAACTTTAAATACATACCACTTGAATGAATTGATGAATCAATTTTTGCCATTTCTTCCCCTATCTATGGCAGTTCTCAAACATCCAAAACTTCTGATACACGTGCTCGCCATGCAAGGTAAGAAGAGCTATACTCTTTTAAAGCTGAATTTCTAGGCTGGAAAAATATAGGATTATACGTCCCTTTGATTCTGTGGGCACTTTAAAATTACAAATTACACAAGCTGTCTTCATGCTTCTTTAATTGGTTTGCCTCTTCCTCAAGGAAAAAATCTATATCGGCCACGTAGCATCTCATTTCATCAACTAAATTAACAAGTTTCCCGTATATCTCTTTGCATCTTGGATGAGCCCTGTCACCTGCAAGGAAAGCATGAACCTCATCTTTTATTTCAATCCAGCTACACCCAGGTTCCTTCTTGAGCTTATTGAACCTCATTATCTTCCTCATATCAGAAACCTTGTCCCACATTCCTGCATCAGCATATATATTTGACAGAAGAATATAAGCGGAAGAATCTTGAGGGTCTAACTGCAAAAGAGAATTGGCCACTTTTTCTGCCACCTCTACGTTGCCATGGATCTTACAAATGCTAAGCAGAGATCTCCATATAACATCATCTGGTGCAAATGGCATATCATTTATGAGCTTTAATGCCTCACTAACTTGGCCTGCCCTTCCCATTATATCCACCATACACGAATAGTGCTCCAACTGAGGAGTTAAACCATAGTCACTTGACATCAAAGCAAAATAACGCAATCCCTTTTCTACCAGCCCTATATGTGCACATGCTCGAAGGACTGAAACAAATGTTGCGTGGTTTGGTATCACATTCTCAGTTATCATATCCTCAAAAATTTTAAGGGCCTCTTCTCCAAGACCATGTTGGGCATACCCACAAATCATGGCATTCCATGTTACAAAATCCCGATTAGTAGCTTTCTCAAATATTAGCTTGGAATCATACAGGTTTCCACATTTTGAGTACATATCCACAAGGGTGCTGCATATGTACACATCCGATTGCAATTCAAGCTTGATACTTTGAGCATGAATTTGCTTACCAAGTCCAACAGTAGCCAAATTGGCACAGGTGTCAAGAACTGTTGCATAAGTGAAGTGATCTGGCTTTATCCCCATCTCCAGCATTCGGGAAAAAAATGTCTGAGCTTCTTCACTTTCTTTTTGCAGTGATAATCCAGAAATTATTGCATTCCAACAGACCATAGTCTGTTGTTCTATTCTGTCATGGATCTTTTCTGCCTCTTCCATCATACCACATTTGCAGTACATATCAACAAGAGCACTTCCGACAAACGAATGCAACCCCATTCCAGATTTGATGATTCTATTATGGATCTCCGTGCCATAATTCAAGGCTTGCTGACCAGCACAAGCTTTTAAGACACTGCCATATGTGAACTCATCAGGCTCCATCGCAGACTGCAGCATGGAAACAAAATGAGAGAGTGTTTCCTCTTCATTTCCATTCTGTTCATGAGCTGCAATAATTGCATTCCAAGAAATAGCATCCCTTCTCTCCATTTCATAGAAAATACGACATGCTTCAGCCAAAGCTCCAGATTTACCATACATGTCGAGAATAGCATTAGCCACACAAACATTTGACTCAAACGTACTTTTAACTGCTAAGGCATGTACTTGAACGCCCTCCAAATACCCTTTCATTACTGCACAAGCACTAAATGCTCCAGATAAACTAATTTCATCAAAACCAAGATCAGACTTGAGCAAAAGTTGAAATAAATGCAAAGCTTGAAAGCCCTGATCACTTTGGGCATAACCAATAATAATAGCGTTAAAAGATTGCAAATTGCGAATCGGAAACAAGTTAAATATCTTTTGAGCTTCAGTGATATTACCACATTTTGCATACATATCTAAAATTGCTGTTCCTACAATTAAATCTGATGCAAAATTAGTCTTCAAGGCATGACCATGCAACTGCCTACCAAACCTAAATGCAGACAACCCGGAACATGACCTCAAAACACTAGCATAAGCAGACTGACTAACCCCAATATCTTCCCTTTGCATCTCCCTGAACAATTCCACACCCTTATTAAATTTATTATTTTGAACACAACCCGCAATCACAGCACTCCAAGAAACCCAATTCTTCTCGGGCATTTGATAAAAGAACCTAATTGAATCATCTAACCTTCTACATTTTCCATACATATCCACTAAAGCACTCCCTGTAAACACATCTTTATCAAAAGCAATTTTAACTGCGGCACCATGTACTTGTAAACCCACATCAAAATCTTCCAAAACAGCACAAGATTTCAAAACAACAGCAAAACTTGTCCGATCAAAACCAACTCCCACCCTTCCCATTTCCACAAAGACTTCAATAGACTTCAAACACTGACCATTCTTCATGTACCCTGAAACCAATGAATTCCACGAAACAACATCCTTTTCAGGCATATCATCAAAATATCTCTTTGCAATCCCCATTGCCCCATTATTAGCATACCCAAAAACCATCGCATTCCACGACACGACATCTCGTTGAGACATTTTATCAAACACTTTAGTAGCAGAACCCAAATCTGCGCATTTTATATACAGCTGGATCAAACAATTCGTAACAAAGATAGTTGGGATAAACCCAGATATTATCAATTGACAATGCGCTTGTTTGCCTGGGTTTAACGATTTTCGTATTGAACATTCTTGGAAAATGTGAGAAAACGTTTTTTTCTTTCTGGGTATTGGTTGGTTTGGTGTTAGAGTGGAAATTGGGATCGTTCTGAAGAGATGTATTTTTGGTGAGGGATGAGACAAGAGGAATTTTGGGAACTTAAAGTAAGAAATCTTACAACCCATGTAAAATTTTAGTTGCTGTCATGCTGTGTCGGGTTTGAGATTTTAAGGTTTGGGGCATGGGGGCCAAGAGCAAGCCCAATTTTAGCTACCCAAAATACGGCAAAACTAGGCAAAGAAACCCATCCCACTATTCAAATGCAATGTAATAGGGACAGCAATGTTTGTACTGTCGCCACTAGGCAAAGGCCTGGCAGCTTCTTTCATCCATGTAACTCCCCTCTAGTTTCTACCATGTGATTTTCTTGGCTTATTATTTTGTTATTGCTTTTTATGTTCCCACATTTTTCTTCATTTTTCTATGCAGCACTCGCTATTTCTTTGCCTTGCACTAAATGTCTCTCTCTGTGTATGAGCAATTATTGATTAGATTTAGACATTTATCATTAAAAAAATTGGTGGTTGATAATATGCCACGGCAGCTCAAATCGAAAATTTTTAAAACTCCATTTCTGACTTCTCTGGATGATCATGCATCCCGTAAAGTTAATGTTTGTTAATAATTTATTGATGTTTCACATTTTCTTTCTACCCAAACAGATTCCAAAAGCTTCAATATTAATTTTTTTTTTTTTTTTGTAATTTAACACCATATATTTATTATTATATTCAGAAAGCAGCCAGTAAATTTGGTTGATACGCACTATCGGTTTTTGGGTTATGACATTGAAAACTTTTGAGTTGTTTGATTTGTTTCAAATGGTCATGTTTTTAGCCAATAGCAATTCATTTTTAAAATGGAAAATTTCTTCTTTCCTATCCCAGAAATTCCATTACAATAGAGTGAAAATTTAACAATTAATAATCAGAAAGAGTTATGTTTAATTCATTAAGAAGCTCATTTGATCTTGTTCAATTGCTAAATGAGTCCCAAGTTCATATATATTAAGTTAATTAAAGCTAATCAGCTCGATCTTTTACACGAAGAAAGTACAAATTTATTTGTGAAATTAAACAAAATTATTTTTAGATATAAATATATAAATATTAAAGATGATATTCCGAGCAATATTTCATTATAGAAACTATGATTGATATAAGGCCATGTCGATTACATATGTTTCATCATTTTAATTTATGAAACTTTACCAAACTATCAAATGCAATGATGTGAATACCCTATTTATCATCATTGGATGGTCCTGGTAATGAAAGGTACATACCTTTTTCAACCACGAGTTTGGATTTTACTGCCCAATGTGCTCCTATAACTAGCTAGTAATTTTGTCCAATATATAATTTTTTTTTTTTTTGTGATTTATTATTGGCTCTTACCATCAAATCGCAATGACCTCCACAATCTAATCCAACGTTTGCTGACCAATTTTTTTTCATGCTGTAAATGAATTAAGCCTTCCTTAAATGGTAACAGAAGAATGATGGATAGTGGCTCCTCATGCGAGACGGAGAATTAAACTTGTCTAATCAAACTTTTAGAGGAAGAAGTGAAGTTGCTTTTCTCTCTCTTTTTTTTTTTTTTACGAGCTACTTGTTTCACCTATTCGACAATTATCATGTAAATATTTAAAATCCAAATTGAATTTTCCTTTAAACCATTTGTTATTATATGTTTGTGAATTTGATGAAACCTCTACTTGTCATCTAAAAATTGTTTACAATTCTTCTTTCAAATTTTACTACAAATTCCATTTCTAATGACTACATTGATTGCAAGAGTACGTTATATAAAATAGCTAAGAAATTAATTATATTTCTTTTCTTTTTTTCCAACTTAATTATTTTTTTCTTAATTTGCAACGACCGATATATAATTTATTTCTCGTCAACAATTCTTTTTCCAGTTCAATTTCTCCTCAATAATTTGAAATATTCCATAGTATACACCTGGAGAACCAAAGATTGGTGCCTGGTATCCTACTCGATCATCTTAATGCCCTAATTCTTTGGGGCAGATAAATACAAAACTCGAAAAGCTTCAGTCCTCACCTGGTCACATTGAGGCAAAAAAGCCCTAGAAAAAAGTTGCCCTAGTTTTTGGGCAGGCAAAATTGGGTGGCAAGCGAGGACAAGTTGAAACCAAAAAGAAACAAAGAATGCTAAACGTATCTACAAATGCAGAGTCATGGAAACAAAACCAAAATGATAGCACAGCAGCACCAGCAGCAAGTGCCAAAATTTTCTTAAAATCATTTTTTTTTTCAAAGTTAAAATGATTGAAGAAATAATTCCCCAGTCCCCACATTTTTTAATCTAAATCAGAGAGGGAACTTAGTACAAATCTTGAACCAAAACCACTCCCCAAGGGCCACAGCCATTTTTTATTGCCCTCTGAGGACACAATGAGACACCATTGGAGAGAATTCCATTACTGACTATGACTTGTTTGTTCCTTTGCACGTTTTGCCCCCCTTTTTTTTATGAGTTTTGCTAATGATGTAACTCCAATTTATATTTTTTTCATAGAAACAACTAATTGATTAAAAACTTAAGGCAAATGGAGAAAAACTGAGTGGATTAAATAAGTATGACTTGCTTTACTATGCTTATTCAAAAACTCATTTAGAGCAAACCTGACTGGCTCGATATTTTCTTTCACTAATGTCATCAATAATTGAATATATATGTACCAACAGCGCAGGCCTGATCAAATTTATGTATCCATCACCACCATCATTTACCCGGCTAGAGAATCTAGCTATCATCTTAAAATCTATACATTAATGTAAATAGTGAGTAAAAGTGTATTAAAATTTAATTGATAGAGCCATATCTCCCTATGGGAAAAAACTCCCATATCCACATTATGGATAAGTGCAAACATACAAGTATATGAGATTATTAGTTTTTATTAGTTTACTTTTAAACTAAAAAAACGTGGATAATATACTCAAATATATATATATATATATATGCATATGGATAAGTACTTAAAACAATATAATTTCCAATGATTTTCACATATCATAATTTGGGTATGGGGGTATTGCGGATAGAAAACTTGATGCCCTCATACACCATTCAACAAAAATTGTCGTAGGTTGCCTTAATGGGGTGCATAAATGGTGCAAGTGACACTACCGCAAATTGGCGAGCCCTATGTGCCCAGGAACTAAAAAAAAAAGCCTTCGAAAAAGAAGAGAAAATTTTTTTTAAAAAACTCCTGGAAGGAAAAAAAAAAAAAAAAAAAATAGGGGTTTTCTTTTGCATGAGTTGACAGGCTGAGCAATAGGGTTGTAGGAAGGTGCACTAGGCAAAGCTGCATTGAGCGTAGGGTTAACAAAGTGCCCACAATTGAGATTATCATGCGCCTGCGTGTTTTTTTTCCTACTTCTGTTGCCTACACTTTGAAAAATCATCATTGTAATAATTTTTCTGCGTGGCTTTGTTTGGTCACTTTGGTGTTGAAAGTTGTTGGAGCAGTTAAATCAAGTACCCATCCGTGCATAACCCAAATCTTTTTTCTAGGGAACTGTCCCTTAGTTGGAATGCTCCTCCTCTTCCCAGGATACCCTTGTCATTTTTGTCATGTCATTCAATGGACCAAACAAACAAGCGGAAATGAAGAAAAAGCATGAAGATCAAACAAGGAAATGAAGAAATAGCATGAAGAAAGAGGGGATAAACGAGCACAAGACAAGAAAAGAAAGAGGGGTCTTTCTGCGTCTAATGGCATTATTGACCATAGAGTCCACTCAACCTGACCATAATAAAGTGGCCCTGTATAGGACAATCTCACAAGCAAGTTGAAACTAATTTCAATTAGATTATAAGTAATCAGGAAATTCCCCAATGTAACATGATGTTTCTACATAAAATAAAAATAAAGGCAAAAGCTGGGTGTTTGCTTGAAAAGAAGAAGAAATTGCTCTCCCCTTTCATCTTGTTAAAGTCAGCATATGTCATGGTGTCATACCAAATGAGTTATATAAATTACAAAGGAGAAAAGCTTGCAATTAAGAAACTATTGGCCTGTTTAAATAACTGCATAGAACATCTAGGACCACAAGAAGTCACTATATTAATCTGCCCACCTATTTTCTGCAGTGTTTTTCATTCCTAATTTAATCTCAAAAAGGAGAACCAGCAGATTATGACTGTCAATAGACATGGCATGGATGTTGGCACTTGAAATGAAATCCATTCCTTTCTTGACAAGTGGTATAACAATGCTGACAGATGAAACAGAAGTCTATTTAACTGAAAACCAGACACTGGTTACTGATTAGGGCCAGTAACTGTGTTTATTTAGAGTTATTTTGGTGAAGTGTCTAACTGATGAAGTGGTTGTTGAGTCATCAACTCCTTAAACAATCTTTACTAATTAGAGACATGGAGAAAATGCATCCCTTGCCAAACCTCCCCCACCATTCCTCACGTCAGAAGGCTCTATTGGCTCATGAGCATTTGAGTAAAACCTCAATTCTAAATAAACTTTGCTTGGAAATAACAAATCCCCACTTAAAGATTGACTTTCTTGAATGCCCATAATTTCTTCTCGTTTTGCTTTCTTTAGCCAAAACATTTCCCCCAATCAAATAATTATACTCCCCACAATACCAACTCTATCTCTCTTTCTGATGCAAGCATAATTGTTTATGAAAATGATTATCCTTAACTCAAATTGCATTCCCTTTATGTATGTGCGCGTGCAATCATGCATATGACTTCTATATGTGCACAAATTTATGTATTTGATCTGATATGCACTCATTAATGCAAGACTGTAGACATGATCTGCATGATATTCAAGAGGCCTAATCTTTAAGTAATTTTCACACTGTTGCTATTTATTTGCTAAGAGTGGGACCATTTCAACCTTTTCTCACTCTATAAGAACCTCCTCTCCTCAGGCTTCCCTTCCCCTTCCAACAAGAGCTTAGGTACTTCATTTTCTCCTCCAAGATTTAGTCCCTTTTCACCCAGCTCCAAGTCATGCAGCCTAGTGAGGTTTCAGGGCTCCAATATCTAGTTCCTTCCAATCCATCCCCATATTCAGCACATTTTACCATGAATCAGAGCAAGGAACCTGCATTTGAGTTGAACAGATTCTCAAATCCCATGTATAATTTCTATATCCCTCCTCAACTTAACGAAATCAGTCCCCATTCATCATGTATTAGCAGCAACTCAACCTCTGATGAAGCAGATGAGCAACAATTATGTCTCATCAATGAGAGAAAGCAAAGAAGGATGATATCTAACAGAGAGTCTGCACGTAGATCACGTATGCGTAAACAAAGGCACCTGGATGAGCTATGTTCGCTGTTCGTTTGGCTCAGGAACGAGAACCACCAGCTTATAGATAAGCTGAACCATATTTCAGAAAGCCATGACAAGGTTCTTCAAGAAAATGCTCAGCTCAAAGAGGAAGCCTCTGAACTTCGTCAGATGCTGTCTGATATGCAACTGAGTAGCCCGTACTCAACTTTGAGAGACCTGGAAGATGCTACCCTGGAACATGGTTTATCTGACAACTGAGTCCTAAACCTGTTCACAAATTTATCTATTTGCTAGGCTAAGAAAGAGGCAACGGTCCTATTTTTCCGTTTTCCGTTTTGGGTCTTCTGTTAGGTGGAAGTCAAACCAGTCTGTGCCTAGCTTTAAGATGTTCGAGATTAAGGCAACGAGAATAACATGTTTTTAGCATTTCATTTTAAATCTCATCTAGAACAGCTTTCTTGTTGTTCTTTAAATTATCCAAAAAAAGAAAAAAAAAAGGAAAATGTTACTCTAATAAGTGTTAAATTATGAGACAAACACTTATATTGTGATATTTTTCCATACACCATTCTAACCTTGGACCAGAAAAAGCTTGATAAAGATATTCAGGGGAAGCAAATTTCTATGCACATATGCATTATATCAGGTGTAATACAAAAGGGAGCCATAAGTGGCATCAGGTAGGGGAATAGTAGGACATGACACAAAGAAAGGTGGTGGGTGAGGGTTGTTCATAATACAGAGACTACCATAAAAAGAAAAACTATAAGATTTCCACTTAATACCATGCACTGTTCCTAGCTTTTCAAGAGTTGCCTTTGTCTCTCACCTTTAGTTTTCATAGGTACAAAACACCCTGTATTTTTTACCATATTTCATAAACTGCATCTCTTCCCCTGCCACACATTATTTTAACTTCTTCATGCATCAAGTTTCAGGTCTTATTCAAGCACATGATCATGTCTAGATACAGTTGTTTTTGATACCCATCAAGATTCATGCAATTGCAAAAACAAGAGTTCACATTATTGCTGTTACAAGACTTTTTTTTCTCCCAGATCTTTTCAACCTTACTGAAGATTCTTCCAAGTCTTGATTTTGGAAGTCTTAATCTGTAGAAATTGTTTTTTTTTAAATCCTGATTCAAGTTACAAAATTTTCATGCATCAAGTTTCACCGCGTATTCAAGCACATGATCATGTCTAGATACTATTGCATTCGATACCCATCAGGATTCATGCAATTGCAAAAATAAGAGTTTACTTTAAGATTTTAAGTCATAACTCAAAATTCATAACAGAAATATAACCAAGTTTTAGCTACCAATATTTCAAGTTTGTTTAGCCACAGCTATAGTCAGGTGGTAAGATGTTAATTCACATTGATTTGGAAATATGACGTCAAATCCTATTGCAAGAAAGAAAAATATTAACCAAAGTGATCAGAGCAAGAAACTATGCAATATATTAAACTCCAGAATAGATGACATAGAAGACAAAAGGAATGAAAATAATAGAAAGACTAACATAGGAAAATTTCCTCCCTGAAAACCAGAACAAAAGGGAGAAGCTCTAGCAGAAAATTCCAATCTCAAATGCCTAGGATTTAAAGATCGGTAAGAATAGTTTTTCGATTAATGCACAAAAATACCCATTCCCTTTAATTTTATTCTGTTTTACTCCTTCCAAAAACATTAGCAGAAAGAAGTCACTGCAGGCTCGTTGAACTCAAGATATTCAGAGGCGAAACCAAAATTATTTGCAAATATTTTGGAATGCAACAGAAGACGAAATGGAGATAAATAAGTTCTAATCTCCTTTGCTCCTATAACATCTTCAAGAACAACTTTGGTTGCACATAAATATTTGGTTCAAGTGGAAGATATTTTGATGGTAGCATATCTTGTATAAGTCTAAATTTCGAATTCCTGAGAAAGCAGGGGCAAAATGCAACTGATGATGATTGTGATCAAGGAGATCAGTTAGACAAAAGTACTTTTCCTTGTATAAAGTACAAATGCTATATCTTATGCTCTCTAGTTCCGCTACTCTTTTCTTTGCCTATGTTTACTATATCTCATTTCCGAGTCCGGCAAACAAAGTCTATCGAAACCGCGGGACTCCCATTCTTGCCCGAGGAATGAGTACCGTTGATTCCTAGGCAAGGTAGATGTTTATGCCTATCCCTCACATGTCACAACAAACACTCCCAAATAGTGAAGCTTTTCATTTTATTTTTAACTTATAATTTTTATTTTTATACCAAATGCAAGAGAAGAAAAAAAAAAAAAAGTGTCTGGTACATTGGTCCTGGTCCTAACACTCCAACTAGATGCTATGATCCGTGGAGTTTTTCCACTTCACAGTCAGTCAGCCTGACAATTTCTAGCGGTCTCAACAATCAATCCCCGTACATACCACAAACCACACCACTCTAAAACTTTCCTCAAATTCTTTATTCCTTTGGTCAGTTCGCTCTGTCAATGTAAAAAACAAAACTCAATAAATTAACAAGCACCGACACGGATATCAGATCTTCAAACCCTTTCGTTGTCAGATCTTAGATCTTATTAGTTTTGTTTTTTGTTTTACCGCCACCTAGAACACATTTTGGTTTCACTAATCAGTTCAAGAGAGACAGAAACTATAACGCTCCTATCATGAACGGATAAAAGATGATATATGGTAGAGATTTAATTTTTTTTTTAGAGATAATTTTTGTGAGATAAAATTATGAGATTTTCATATTAAAACAGATAATATTTTACAAGTTAGATGTGAATTTTCACAAATAGTATCGAAGCGATCATCAGTTCGCAGTCGTGAAAGTTACTAAGTGTTACACGATAAAATCGTGAGAATCATTAAATGTTATACGATGGTCTGGTGATTTTGATCCTGTGGATGGACTCGATTTGACAAAAACATCAAGTATTAAAGGTGAGAAGATTGTAATGTCTCTAATCCCACATCAAAAAAATGTGTGGATAAAAATGATATATACGTAGAGATTTAATTTTTTTTTACGAGATATTTTTTGTGAGATAAAATCGTAAAATTTTCGAATCAAAACGAATAATACTTCCAGATTGGATACGTTTCTCCACGTAAACATAGCAGTGGAGATAGCTAAATTCAATGGCTGTGGCCATCAGAGGAACTCGAAGGGGCGGATCAGGCGATATCGGAGCTGGTTTCCGTAGCTTATTTTCTTACAGGATCTTTGTCTCAGCCATGTTTTCCCTTCTCTTCATTGCCACTGTCACCGTTCTGCTCACTAGTCATCCTTCTACAACTCATCACCACTCTGTAAATTTCTTCAAAATCCAATATCTTTTTCCGGCTTTTTCAGAGACCTTTTCGATTTTCTAACTTGGGTTTTTTTTTTTTATTATATTTTGGACTCGGTAAAATAAACTTTATTTATTTAATTCAATTCTTCACTTTCAATGCTGCAAAATCCAAATCTCTCCGGGCTTTTTTAGATTCCCTTTAGCGTTTTCTAAATGGGTTCTTATTTTTTGAGTTGATCTTTTAATACTTCAAAATCCAACTTTTTCATGGTTTTATTTCTGATAGCTTTTGGAGCAGAGCTTTCAATGCTTCAAAATTCATTCTTTTTGGGTTTTGAAATATCATTTTAGACATTCTAACTGTTTTTTTTTTCCTTTTTCAAGTTTTTGAACAGAGGCTTCAAAGTGGCGGAAATGCTTACATGCATAGAACATTTCTGGCATTGAACTCAGACCCAATCAAAACAAGGTTAGATTTGGTATACAAGCAAGCCAATGATCACATGACATTAGTGAAAGCATATGCAGCTTAAGCAAGGAAGCTAAAGCTAGAAATTTCAAGGCAATTTGACAATGCTTGATGATTTGGCTAAGAATTTCTCAGATCTTACTTCGAAACGGAGTTATAAATCCTCTTTGTTTGAAAATGATGGGAACTTAGATGAGGATGTTTTAAGGCAGTTTGAGAAAGAAGTGAAAGATAAAGTGAAATTTGCTAGGTTGTTGATAGCTGAATCCAAAGAGAATTATGATAATCAGTTGAAAATTCAGAAGTTGAAAGATACTATTTTTGCATTTAGCGAATTGTTAGGTAAGTCGAAAAAGAATGGAGCTTTTTCAAGCTCGATTGCTGCTAAATCCATTCCAAAAAGTTTGCATTGCTTGGCAATGAGGCTCGTGGAGCAGAGAATTTCACATCCGGAAAAGTATAAGGAAGTGTTGCCTGAGGCTGAGTTTGAGGACCCTAGTTTGTATCATTATGCTATATTTTCGGATAATGTGATTGCGGTTTCTGTGGTTGTGAGGTCTGCAGTGAAGAATGCTGAGGAGCCTTGGAAACATATGTTCCATATTGTGACTGATAGAATGAATGCAGCTGCAATGAAAGTTTGGTTCAGAATGAGACCCGTGGAAAGGGGTGCTCATGTGGAGGTGAAAGCAGTGGAAGATTATAATTTCTTGAATTCCTCCTATGTGCCAGTGTTGAGGCAGATTGAGTCTGCTAAGATGCAGAGGTTTTACTGTGGGTATAAGTTGGAGAATGCAACGAATGATGGGAATAACATGAAGTTTAGGAACCCTGAGTATATGTCAATGCTGAATCACCTTAGGTTTTATTTGCCTGAAATGAACCCAAAATTGCATAAGATTTTGTTCTTGGATGATGATGTTGTGGTTCAGAAAGACTTGACAGGTTTGTGGAAGATTGATTTGGCTGGAAAGGTGAATGGGGCTGTTGAGACCTGTTTTGGTTCATTTCACCGTTTCTCTGAGTACTTGAACTTTTCACATCCTCTCATTAAGGAGAGGTTTAATCCTAAGGCTTGTGCTTGGGCTTATGGGATGAACATTTTTGATCTTGATGCTTGGCGGCGTGAGAAATGCACCGAAACGTATCACAACTGGCAGAGTTTGGTAAGTGTATTGTTTGATTTTGAGTGAACTTAGTGATGTTTGCTACTAATAGAGGTAATAATTTGTTAGCATGATGCTTGGTTTCCTACAGATCATTTCTTGATTTGATGGAGAAAAAGGCATAATGCTTTTACCTGCAAAATTTAACTAACTTCAAAATTCAAAGACTACACCTCAGTTATACTAATGGTAAGAATTATGGGTTGAAGTTTGAAAATGGATGTGTAATTAACTTTCAATTGATGTTCTGATCAGAATGTGGATGGAACTCTGTGGAAATCGGGTACTCTTCCACCTGGCCTGATCACCTTCTACTCATTGACAAAATCACTGGACAAATTCTGGCATGTGCTCGGGGTTGGATACAATCCAAGCATCAGCATGGATGAGATCAATAATGCCGCAGTCATTCATTACAATGGAAACATGAAACCTTGGCTAGACATTGCTATGAACCAATACAAGAATCGCTGGACTAAATTTGTGGATAATGATATGGAGTTCGTGCAGATGTGCAATTTTGGCGTGTAGGAAAGTAACTGCCAGTGCTGCTCTATCAGCTATCAAGTAACAAAGAATACAAGTTTTAGTGATTGTTCATAGTGGCTTGCTGTATTCCAGCAACA